TAGATCAACTGGGCAAAGTTGGCATCTTTGTGATATTGAATCTTTTCAAGGATAGATTACAGTTTTCCATTCACTTACATCTTTATTAATGTCTCTATAAAATTTTACAATTTTCCATTTGCTATTCTTAAGTATACAGAGTCCACTGTAAAAAAAAAGCTATACATAATTGAGGAAAATAAAAATTTGTATAAATATTTTAATACTAAATTCACTGAGACATAAGATTAATGCAAGTTATCTTTGCTTTACACAATTACAAGAGGTTCTCAAGTGATGGCTGTCAGTTTCCAGACATTTATTAGTATGGCAAACAGCCACTTGGGTCACCTTGGTCACTGAGATTTCCGCACATACATTTTTCATTTCTTCTCCACGGGCCACCGATATAGTGGGTTTTCTGCACTACACAACATCCACAAGGGTAACACCATCTGTTGAACAAACATCACACTATTTTTGTTTTCCTAGAGTCCGTATACATTTTTGGTGGACTCATACTTTGTTGATTCATTCCTAGGTATATTCTTGTTGCTATTATAAATGGTATCCTGAAAATTAATGTTTTTATTGTTACTAAGTATAGAAATGCAGTTGACTTCTCAGAATTAGTTTGATAACCTCCAGAGTTACTCTGTCTAATTTTTAAAAATTTATTTATTTATTTATTTATTTATTTGGTACAGGGTCTTACTATACACCTTGGACTCCTAGTGATCCTCCTGTCTCAGCCTCCCCAGCACTGGGATTACAAATGTACCCCACCACACCTGGCTTCTGGGCCAGCACGGTGCACCCAGGGTTCTCAGGCCAGCATGGCATGTGGTACTGGGTGTCAAATCCGGGTCCTTGAGCTTGCCAGGCAGGCGCTTAAACCACTGAACTATTTCTCCAGTCTTACTAATTTTTAAAAATATGTTTATAGATCCTTTTGGGTTTTCTGGGTAGAGTTCCAAGATATGCAATAATGGTAGTTTGTTGTTCCTTTTTATGTTTTTCCTCTCTTTTTCTTATCTTGCCACACAGGAATGAGTATAATATGGAACATCTAAGGTACCTTGGCTGGTATCCTAATCTGTTTGCATTGCTGTAATAAAGTACCATATACGAGGTGGTTTATAAGCAAAGGAAATTCTCTCTCGCAGTTCTGGAAGCTAGGAAGCCCAGGTGCCAGCAGATTTAGAACTTGGTGAAGGCCCATTCTTCATAGTGCTAGCCATAGTTTGGATCGTAAATGTTTCCTAAAGGCCCATGTGTCACAGGCTTGGTCACCAGCATGTGGTGTTTAATGAAGGTGGTGGAACATTTAGGAGACAGTCTAGTTGAAGGTCATCAGGTCACTGGGCGGTGCTCTTAAAGAGGATGGTGGACCCCTGCCCCTGGCTTGCTGGCCTCCACAAGGTGTCCTGCACACACACTCATGCTGTAAGGTACTGTTCTGCCTCCAGCCCAAAGCAACCGAGGACTAAAGCTGCTGGGACTATGAGGCAACGTAAGCTCTTTCTTCCTTAAAGGTACTTTACGTCAAGAATTCTTTCCATGATAGAAAGCCCCCACTAGTGCCTTTTGGCTAAATCCCTTACTCCATAGAAGAAGCAGACAAGCCTCTGCAGGCTTCCTTTATAAAAACACTAATCCCATCCATGAAGCTCCATCCTTGCTGTCTAATCATCTCCCCAAGTCTTCCCTCTTAAAGCCATCACTTTGGGGATTAGGACTTCAACATGTGAATTTGAGTTGTTGGGGACACATTTAAACCATAACAGATGGCAAGGTTTCAAAAGCCCATGGTTTGCATTTTCTGGTATTTAATGCAACAAAGCTCTGTGTTCAGGGATTTCAGGCTCATTAAAGGGGCTCTGTAGAGTGTCATTCCTCCTGAGTATAAGCCAGAACACTATAACCATAGATGAGAAATTGCTTTATTTTTAAATATACTTTACTATTTTGCTTCATTAGTAAGGAATTTGTCCTTGAATCTTAGAAGCTCTTTTATCCCTGTCCATTGTGCTGCCTCTTGCCAAAATAAGAAAAAAATATCTTCTCAGGAAAATCTTGTGGAGGAATAGTATTTATAATGTGACTCTAAAATTTAGATGAACTCTTAGAAGTGCAAGCCTTGTTATTACTTGTAGTTCCCATTCTGTCTTGGCTGGGGGAAGTGGCTGGCTACAAATAAGACACTCCTTTGAAGTAATTAATAATTCCCAAAGAAACATTGGCATACTGCTTTATTATAGCACATCTCCATTTTTTTAAAAGTAAGGCAGTCAAGGTAACAGATGGAGAAAGTTTTAGGCCTGACAGTTATAAATAGTCCTGCAATTTATTTCACGTTATATTTGCAGTTCTCTTTCTTTGCCATTCCGAAAGTTGGATCTCAATCAAAGTACATTTTTCTTGACCAACGAGTTAAAAATTGTTGCAATGGATGAAAAATCTAAAATAATGAAATAGAGTGACCAAGTTTGGTTCTTCTGGAAGTTTTCCTTATATTCTAGATTGTTGTTGCCCTAATACCCCAATACCTGATCTTTAGAGGAACGTCTTTTCCAGGGATCAATCAAATGGAGTACAGGAGCCTTCTGAGTAAGTCAGCAGCTATCTCATTTATGACTGTCATTTTTCTTGTTCCTAGTGATCTAAGTAATACTTGCCTGATGACCACTGTGTTGCCAAGCACTACATGGGACAAAAGGACAATATCCTTGTCTTTAAAAGGACAGTCATGGGGAGAAAGCATTAAAAACATGGAAGCTAAATCCAGGTGTGGCGGCGCACACCTGTAATCCCAGCGCTGGGGAGGCTGAAAGCAGGAGGATTATGAGTCTGAGCTGCATAGTGAGACCTTGTAACAACCAAATATATTTTAAAAAATAACATGGATGCTAAATAGCAATACAACACAGTGGAACATACAATATCCCAGGCATAATGACAATAATACACAATGATTATCATTTTGTTGTTCCATATTTGTTGTAATGCTAATCTAACAAAGCATCAAAAGTATTTTGAATGTTCAAAATGTTGCATACACAACAAATATATTTTTTCCTTAAAGTACTTTAGATTTAAATGATAGAAATATAAAGAAAACTATCAAACTGTAAAGCATGTTCAAGAGTGGTAATATTCCCGCTGCTGAGGAAGATATGGAGAAACATGGGCTTTAATGTACTACTGATGTTTTTGTGTAATTAGTAAAACCATTTGGAAGGCAGTATGGCTATAACTGTCAAAATGTCAAATGTGCCTTCCTTTGTTTTGAAATTCTACTTCCATTAATGGTGGGTGAGGTCATTTGGTTACTCTCTTCTTCTCCCTTCCATCTTCCATTCCATCTTTCCCTAACACCCCCTCCCACTATCTCTCTTTCCCTTCCTCCAAGAACAACTAGAAAAGATAGGCAAAAAAATTTTTAAGAAACGTTTTGAAGGCAAAAGAGAATTACTAGGCAATGGAGAATTTATAGGGCCAACATCCAGAAGGAGCTCAAGACCATAGACTTTGGGGGCCATTTTATTCTTAAAGACATCACCTTTTTGGTAGAAGCTGTGGAGCTTGAATGGTTAGGGAAGAAATCTGGGTACTCACTTATGAGCCATCCAAGGAGTAGGCTCTCTGGCAATCTCCCAAGTTTGAGAGTAGGGCTGAGTGAACCAGAAACTTGACCTGGGCCAGCCATCCCAAAGCCTGAGTCTCAGCTCTGAATCATTTTTAACTTATTGATTGAGGAAGTTCTTCTCCATTGGGGCTTCAAAAGGAATTTAGTCCCTAGTGTCCTGAAGTATTTATTACTTATTAGGAATTAGCTCTTTTTTATATCTAGGATAGTACTAGGTCCATACCCTTTTTAGAACAAGAAAAAATAGTCATGTAACTGATATATGCTGCAAAAGAAATAATAATAATAAAACCAACAACAAAAAACTATTAGAAACAATACACAATTTCACTAAACCAAATGACAGGAATTCAACAATGGTTATTATATTGTATATTGTTGTCTTCACATTAGTCGTTCAGATTTGTACCTGTGAACCAACCTTCCTCTTTTATCCCTTGTTCCTACCCTTCTCAGACTCTGCTAATCAGTTTGTCTTGGTTACTTTTCTCATTGCTGAGACAAAATACCCAGCATCCAGAGTTAAAAGAGGAACGCCTTCTTGTAGCTAGTGTGTAGAGGTTTCACTTGATAGTTGGCCTGCTCCAAACTAGGGCAAAGAGGGGCCTCACCAAGAAAAGAACAGTTCATGGCAGGCAGAAGGCATCAAAACAGCAAAGTATCAAGTGGCAAGCACTGTCCCTTACATTTTATCCAGGCTGTCCACCCTTAGGCCAGGCAGCACGTACATCCAGGGCAAGACGCCCTTAATCCTAGCATCACACCATGAATCAATCCCATCATCACATTCTTAAATCCAGCATCACATACTCTAGATCCAGCCACCTCCAAAAAACCCCATCTTTGGCCTCCTAAGGCTTTCAGGGGACATTTGGACATAAGCAACAACACTATTGTACTCTCTACTTCTATGCAATAAACTTTTTTAAGCTTCCACATATGGGTTAGAACATGAAGTATTTGTTTTTCTGTGCCTGGGGGTTACATTTTTTAATTGCCTTTTTTCTGCTAAAATGTCAGTCTAAATCGCAATATGGGTTGTTCCCTAAACATAACAATCTAGCTGTCTTCCGGCTCCTAAAGATGAGATAAATCCTCAGTGTTAGTTAAATTGCAGTTCCCTTCGTGCAGTGCAGTGCAGGAAGTCGTAGAAGAATCTTGACTATTTTCCCCAATAACAAGTTGTGGGGCTCTTGGCCACGGCGGACTGGAGAGATCCAGCTGTGCCAGGAACGTCAGATCTCCTGTGAAGCGTCCTTTCGGCAGCTTCTCCCTACTCCCAAGCCCCCCAGCAAAGTGATTGGTCTCAAAAAAAAAAAAAAAAAAAAGTTGTGGGTAATTTGGGGTAATAAAGTCTGCATTCTTTTTCAAGGCCGAGAGATCCGTCTCCCCCTCCGAATCAAAGGGGAAGGAATGGGCCCTAAGATTCACTTCAACTTTGAATTGCTGGATATTGGGAAAGTTTTCGTTGGGTCCACACATTGTTACGAGGTGAGTGCTCGAGTCGCCCATCGAGGCTGCCAGTGGTACTTGGCTTTCTAAATTTGTTTTATTTTATGTGGTTTTGCTTGGTAGAAAATTTGTATAATCATAGCCACTTGCCACTATTCATACTGATACAGAAGACCCCCCCAAATGCCGGCTCTTCCCTCCTCACCTCACCAAAAGGAGCAACTTTCCCACCTTCTAACTTGACCAGACACTAAGCAGCATCACAGCCATCATTCAATGGGGTTCCAGCCTCTGTTTTGTAGGTTTCAAGGGGGGAAGCCATAAATACATCTCCCCATCTGTTTAGCAGTTGTTCTCTGGCCGCATAAATCTTACAGATCTGAGCATAGAGAACTCTTTACTTTCTAGACGATCCTAATGAGGTGGCTGTTTTCGCACTTCTGAGTTTTCTCCCAATGCTCTCCTCTCCAATCCAAACTCAGCTCCTGGTTTCTGGAGGAGACCCCCTCTCCCCCCGCCTTGTCCTCCCGATTAAATAGAAAGTGGAATTTTACAAGCTGAGTTCTTCAGGGTCAAAGCCACTCCAGAGTTATCAGTATCTATCTGGGGCACAGTTTTGCTCTATATCAATAATATATTATTGAATTAGCAACTTCGGCTACCAATTGGACCTTTGCTTGAGGATGTTCCCAAATTGTGTCTGCTAGTATTTCTATAGACATAATAAAAGCAATTGTTTAATAAATGACAACTAGCTGTCAGGTTCTGTGATAATTGTGTGTGCGTGTGCACACACACACTTATGTGTGTGTATGTGTAATTTCTAACCCATACAGAACTATGAAAGACTTTTTATACCTATTTTTATTTTTTATACCTATTTTAAATGCAGAGTATGAAGGCTGCAGATAGCCTTATTACCTCCAACAACATTGCCCTTTGTGTATGCTGAGATAGTGCTACTGCTTTGACCTAAGTTCATGCATTAAGTCCTCACAAAACCCAGGCAGAGTAGCTACAATTACTGTTTCCATTTTGTAGCTGAGTAAGCTGAGGCTTAGAAAAATTTTACCTAGTTACTAGTAATGCCAAGTAAATCCAGAACAAAGGTTCAGCAGCACTGTCCTCCAGCAGGGAATCTGGAAGCCAGAATCCTTCCATCTTCTACTCAGCTATCCTTCCACATGCACTAAAACTTGTAGCCTCATCTGCAGTGATGCTGACCGAAGAGGAAAGAACATTCAGGAATGTGCATGAGATTCATATAGGAGTGGTATCCCGCACTTCTATTCACGTTGCCTAGCCTGTGTGTGGCTGCAAAGGAAGCTGGGAGTGTGTCGTCGTGTCATCAGTACAGCAGAGGAGGAAGTGGGGTCAGGCAACAGCAAGGCTCACTTCTAGAGTCCTTAAGTATCGTGACCAGTAGCACAGCTTACAAATGCTGTGAGCCTGGGTCACCAGCGACCTCTGTCCTGCTCTGGGAGTAGAAGGCCCTTTTCTGGTCTCTGAATCCTTCAGGCTTTTGGCGGCCCACTCTTCCATCCTGTGCAAATCTGACCAACTCAGCTCTCAGCCCCGCCTGATCTGGCACGGGGACAGTGTCCTTCATCCACATGTTCGCTAGGGCTAACTGTGGCCTAACTGGGTAATGCAAAAGGTAAGCAGAGATGTTCATGTCCCAAAGAGATGAAATATGCATAGGAACACTATGTGAATGAAGAACCGGCCTCATGAGAAGTAGCACAGTATATACTGCCTCACTCTGTGTTGCATTTGAGAAAAGAAGGTAATACTTCTTATTAATTGATATTCTTTCTGTAATATATCCACTGTGAATTTTCATTACATCTTAGATAATACTTTGTGGATGCAACCTCAGAAAAGGACCCTTAGTTCTGATGCAAAATGGATAGGGTTTCCCAGAGTATAATAGTAATTTCTTACAAAATGAACAGCTGTGAACTTTAGGCCACCACTTTGCAACCTCCTTGGCTTTAACAGTATCAGACTACAGTGAGCTAAAGTATCCCATGAGGTGATGCATCAGCCCGGACAGTTTGGAGAGCCAAGCAGTGGCAGGGAAGGACATGGTGAGGTGCCTCTTATAGGGATATTTTGCAGTCTCTGCGTATTTAATGCTGATGCCTCATTACATCTCTCTTTCAATTTATTGCATTATCTACTTGAGACAAATCTGAATAACTAGCTATTCCCCTTAGTCATTGCTGAGCTTAGCACATACCTAAAGAATAAACTATAACCTCAAGAGTATATGCATTCCCCAGTGTAATTAACAAGGAGAACAAGGGGGCTGGGCTGGAAGTTCTCTTATCAATGCCTTCCCCCTCCAGGAGTTAGACCACAAGGGCAAGACTATTACCAACCATCAGAATCATGTCCCAAACTATTTCTTGGGGGTCTGTACTCAAAAGTAGGTACTGCTTTGGCAGGAGTGGGAGAATGGCATATGTATGCTTGAAACTGGGAGCACTCACACTCTACAGAAAATCTGGGTAAGATAGTCTTGTTAAGCCCCTCCATAAAAGCAAACAAATACATAGGCAACTCGAAGAGCAAGGGGCCTTCGAGTACTACTAATGCCTTTAGCTGCCTGTGAGTTACCACTAGCATTTGTCAGTTGCCCCTGAAGCACAGGGGAATTCTGCTTGGCATTAATGATGTAAGTAGCCATCGTTATCATTTGTAACCATTATTTGCCTGGTACTACTATAAAATTACCTAAATTAGTAAACTTAATCTTGAAACAGTATGACAAATTAATCGTACAAATAGAAAAACAGGCACAGAGAATTTACAGGGGTTGTCTAAGGTCATGTAGCTTGTAAGTCAGTGGCAGAGCTGGGGTGTGAGGCCAGGCGGTTTTGCTCTGGAGTCCCCGACCATCCTCACTTTTCTGTGTGGTCTCTTTAAAAGACATGAAGGGTGGAGCACAGCCTGGACTACCAGGGAAAATGCAGAATGAGGGAAATGGGAAGCAAGCATTAAAAAGATGCTTTAACCAGCAATCGGCCTTTATTTATGTGCCTGTTCTAGTGCACCTGCTATCTTTGCTTGGCAGACATGCTGGGTTTCCTCTGCAGAGGCCTCTGACTTCAGTTTCTCTGCTATCCAGGCTCTCCCTTTGAGGCAGCCTGAGCCCCTAACTCAGCCTCCTCAGCCTCGCTCAGACCCCGTTCCCTTGGCCACCTTGCCCTCTTCCCAGCTGGCAAGAACAGGAGGCACACCTCGGAGTGCTTTCTCCAGTGCACCTCATCTCATCAAATACAGATGCTTTCAGTCTCCTCTGAAATACCTCCCCACTGCTTTGGCACTCCCACCCTCAAAACACGGAATTGAAGGTAGTCAGCCACTATGTTCCCTGCACCCACCCACTCCCTAAACATTTGTCCTCTGCATTCTGCAATCAGACTCCATTGCAATCACTCTCTTCTTCAAGGTTAGGAATGACCTCTAAGTAGAAAGAGAAAACCTCTGTTCTTTTCTCAGAGCTTCTTCGCTGACCGGTGTCCACAATGGACCTCTTCTGGGAATCCTCCTCCCTCCGCGTTCAGCTTCTGGACACACTGTGCCCATTCCTTTAACCCTCGGCTTGTCTTAATTGCTGCAGCTGTAGGCTCAGGGAAGCCCATATAAAACAAGAGGCCGTGCTTTCCCCCTCCTAGATGTGAGGACAGCATTGGCAAGCAATGGAGATGGTATCTTTGGAATCCAGGAGCAAAACGGTATACCTGGTGCAGCTTCATGTGTAGGGGTGGTGCAGGTGGGGACAGGAGCAGCAGGTGAAGCCTAAATATGGGGGTTCTGAGTGTCAGGCAGGAGCTGCTGTACACAAACACACACACCTAGTTGTGTAACCAAATATGAACAGTATGGTGGTGCCAGAAAATTAGCAGACTAACTTTGTTTTAGAGAGGAAGCTAAAAATATAGGCTTACTTTTTGGCTTGGAAGTCCTGTCCTCAAACATTCAAGATATCAGAGTATTCATTTCCCCCAGAGAGTTTTCTCGGGGTGCTACTTACAGTGTTAAATAATGTAGCCACTTACTTACATGCAAGTTGATTGCAGGTCCCTTGACCTATACCTCCTTGCCTTTGATTGACACAGGCTGTACTGTCCAACAAAGGCAGCATCGACGCCCTCTTCCATGTGGTCCCCCCAACCTCGGCTTTGGGGGCCTGCTTTGTTTTCAGTCCCAAAGAAGGCATCATCGAGCCAAGTGCCGTCCAAGCCATCCAGATCTCCTTCAGCTCTGGCATCCTGGGGCACTTTGAAGAAGAGTTCCTGATCAGTGTGAAGGGGTCACCCGAGCCTGTGAAGCTGACCGTTAGGTAAGGCATGGTGACAACAAAGGTGGACGCTGAAGTTTTGGTCCACTGCTTTCCTGATCATGTCTGTAACTATCTTTCTTGGTAGGAACACTTCAGGATAATGCAGTGTGTTAAATTTCCAGTATTTCCCTCATGGACACATGTTATTTACTATACTATAGATACAGAGACTATTTGGATAGTCTATTGTCTGGTTTCTCTAGATTTTAACCTTATAATCCAGTGATGATGCCCTTGTGGAAGTGAGCGCCCTCACTGAAACCCAAGCCCACTTATTTATAGCAAATTGCCGAACACTGCAATGAAACCTGAGTACTGAGATTTTAATTTAGAAGAAAAAATTCATACATTAACATCTTTTGTCTTAAAAAATAAGTAACAGTGGAGGCCTCTACTGTTACAAGAATTTGAACATGAGTTTCTAACTACTGTCCATATTTTAGGATGTTTGAAGAAAATAAATTATTACAGTAATACGTGAATAAAATAATCTTATCTAAACTGTTACCACAATTTTTTGTTGTTATCACAATTTTTCTAAACTTTTGTCTTCTATTATTTTTTAAGGAAATTCTTTTTTTTTTTTTTTTTTTTTTTTTGGTGGAACCAGGAATTGAACTCAGGCCCTTGCGCTTCCCAGGGAAGCACTTATTCCACTGAGCCATCTCCTGGGCCCCAGGAAATTCTTTTAAATTATCTTAATTACCTGTTTTTTTACAGAGATTCCACTTATAGTCAACCAAGAAGGAACACATGCTGATTTTTTTTTCCTTTTTTTATGTATTTGGTACAGGATCCCACTATGCAACTCAGACTCATAGTGATCCTCCTGTTTTCAGCCTCCCCAGCGCTGAGATTACAGGTGTGCACCACCACTCCTGGTCTATGTGCAGCTTTTATGTCAGAATTTTTTTCCTATTTTTTTCTGGTGCTGAGAATCACACTCAGGACTCTGCACTTGTCAGGCAGGTGCTTGTACCACTGAGCTATGTCCCCAGCCCAGAAGTATTTTATGGCAGTTCCAGCTGCTTCTGATAAATGAAGGTTATTAATAGCAGAGTTTAATCTCAGATTTTGAAAATAAGTTATTTGTACTACTGGGCAATTTTGATTGACGGTACTTAAAAAACAGTATCTTCAGAAAGGAAAGATTGTCTCTTCAGACCACATTGTTCTGACACTGTTTGGATTCTACAGCAACTCATTGGTAATTTTGATGGCAGTCCTTTCCTAACAGGGTCCTCCTGCATCTATAAGCTGAGCTATCTCTTGGGGCTTTGGAAAACATAGAAAAGAGACAGACACATATGGCCTCACAGATCCTAGGACATTTCATTGATCTATCTACTAGAAATGCAGAATCTCAAGCACAGCGGCCAGGGTTCAATCCCCAGCATGCTGTGCCAGCCCTGCCCCGAGGGACACGCTGAGACAGAGATTGAGACTCAGTGTGGTGGCATGTGCCTGTAATCCTAGCCCTTGGGAGGCTGAAAACAAGAGAATCACTACAAGTCTGATTCTACATAGTGAGACCCTGTACACCCTGTAGACCCTGTACTAAATACATTAAGAAAGAAAAGAAAAGAAAAGAAAAGAAAAGAAAAGAAAAGAAAAGAAAAGAAAAGAAAAGACAGGCAGAATCTCAAGTGTGGTTAAAAAATGATTCCTGGGGAAATAGCTCAGCGGCATAAGAGCCTGCCTGGCAAGCACAATACCGAGTTCAGTCCCCAGTAAAAAAAAAAAAAAAAGTAAACGTGATTGTGTTTTATTCTCAAACCCTGTCTAAGTGCCCCTGTTATGGACTGCTTGTATCCCCTCAAAATTCAGATGTTGAATTCTAATAGCCAAGGCCTCAGAATATAACTGTTGTAGAATATGGGGCCTTTCAATTGTTAATTAAGTTAAATTTATGTAGAATTTAATCCAATACGATGGCTGTCCATTTCAAGAAGAGGAGATTAGGACTCACACACACATAGAAAAAGCCCAGAGTGGACGTAGAGAAGGCCATCTACAAGCTGAGGAGGAGGCCCTCAGGAAAAACAGACAACCCTGTCAGCACCCACTCTTCCAACAACAGTAGAAGTACATTTCTGTTGTTAAGGTTTGAATCTATGGTACTTCGTTATGGCAGTCCTAGGAAACTGACGTAACTCCCAACAACAAAGGAGCATGAAGAGATGAGCCTCAAAGCTTCTGAAGCATGGCCGGGGGTAGCCTGTCACAATCATAAGTCTCAAAGCTTATCAGAGATCCTGCAAGACATTTACAGTCTTTTCCATAATATACCTGTGTTGGTTATTTTAAAATTTGTTTTCCAAGAGCCAGCCAAATAGCTCAGCAGATTAAAGTACCTGCTTAGGCAGTCGCAGAGGCCGGCGTTCGGTCCCCAGGCCTGCTCTGCCAGCCCCTCCCAGGGCACACTGAGATGGTGATTGAGACTGGGCATGGTGGCATGCACCTATAATCTCAGCATTTGGGAGGCTGTAAATAGGAAGATCACTACGGGTCCGATCTGCATACTGAGACCCTGTAGACCCTGTACTAAAAATACAAAAACAAAAATTGTTTTCCAAATATCTGAATAATATTGATTCCTCAGAAAGGTGCACTGTAATTACCCTAGCCCTGATTGACATCCTTCAGGTGTATGCATGGTGCAAGAAGAGTGGAAGCACAGCCTCAGTGCATGAACACCAGCATCCCCTTCCCCCATAACAATTCACCTATCATGACAGTTAGTTCCTCTGGGCCCTTGAGGCGCTTCATCAGCACTCGAATATCAGTTCTTAAAACTTTTGCATCAAGCTTCTTGGCTTCTTGGCATCAGGAAGTGTTACTTAGAATCGTAAGTATCTTCCACAATGCCTAGCACATAAGCAAGACTCTACGCAAAAGTGGGGAAGATAAAAGTGTAACATTATGCTTAAATGAACATGGAAGGTAATTAATGAATAAACCTTATGAATATGGACACAAAGATTCCTTAACAAAATAATAGCAAATCAAATCCAGCAATATATAAAAAATATTATGCACCATGCCCAAGTAGAATTTATCCCAAGAATGCAAGTTGGTTGAACATACAAAAATTAATCAGTGTAATAACACCATTAATGTCCTATATTAATCAAAGAAAAGCCCCACATGATCAGCTCAGTGAAAATAAAAAAGGCACTTGCCAAAATTCAACATTCTGTCATGATTTTAAAAGAAACAAATTCAACAAACTAAGAGGAAAATGGAATTTCTCCAATATAAATCGAAAACCTACATGTGAGAGCTAAAACTATAAAACAATTAGAGGAAAATACAGGCATAATTGTGTACAACCTTAGATTGTACAGTGAGTCTCAAATATGGCATTTAAGCACAATCAAAGGAAAATAAATAAATTAGACTTTATCAAAATGTATAATGCTTCAAAAGACACTGTCAAGAAAATAAAAAAGATTGCCTACAGAATAGGAGAAAGTATTTGAACCCCCATATATCTAATAAAGGAGATGTATCTACTCTACATGAAGAGCAGTTAAAACTCAATAATAAAAGATAAGTAGTTCAATTTAAGCATTATTCAAAGCTTCTAATAGGACATTTCTCAAAGAAAGATATAAAATAGTGAATGACGTGAAAACTCCTAACATCATGGCTCATCAAGGATATGAAAATCACAACCACAATGAGATAATCATTTACTCCCTTGGATGACTGTAATAAAATGGAAAATAGGGTTTAGTGAAAATATGAAAGAATCATAACAGTGATAAACTGGTGATGAAAGTGCAAAGTGTGGAAGCCACTTTTGAAAATAGTCTGATAACATCTCAAATGGGTACATAATAAGTTACCATATAATACAGCAATTTCACTCCTAGACCTATAGTCAAGGTAAATGAAAACAAACCTACACAGAAGCCTGTCTATGCGTGTTGATAGCGGCATCATTCACAGAAGCCAAAAATGTGGTATATTGATACAGTGGAATTTTATCTGGCCATAAAAATGAATGAAACAGAATGAAGCATGGATATATAACATCGTACAGTGAGCGAACATTGAAAATATGACAAGTGAAGGAAGCCAGTCATGAAAATCACACTTGACATGATTTCATGTATTAGAAATGTTCAGAATAGACAAATCCATGAAAATCAGTAGAGCAGTAGTTGCTTAAGTCTAGGGGTGAAAGATGGGACATAGAATTTCTTTTTGAGATGATTGAAATGTACTAAAACTAGAGTGATGTTTGCACATATGTGTGTTAATACAAAAACTACTGGTTTGTACACTAACTGAGTGGATTTGATCATACGTGAATTATGTCTCAATGAAGCTGTCATTTAAAATTTGTCCAGAAGCCTGTAAGATTGAATAGTTCTATAACTTCCTAGATGAATTTTTTTTTAAAGTCTCTATCCTCTTAAAGATTCCAAAGTACTAGTGCATATCACTAGCATTGTCTGACCAGGGTGGGATGTACCTGGGTTTTCCATTATGATGAATAGGATTTAGCATTCTCTCAGGTAACCTTAGACTAATGAGTGCTCCAGTTGCTCTGTGGTGCTGAGCTCTCTGATTCCATCTTCTGGACTTTAACATTTCCCCAAATTCCTATGACAGTCTTTTTTTATGTTCATTTCTCATCTCTTTCAACCTGAATGAAAGCCAGACTGTGGAAAGATGTGCACTGGGTTTTATCCCCCCGCAAAATCACCAGTTACTAAGAGAAATTGACCTGAATTTTCTTCTCCACTTCACTTCCGTTAAAGCTCAATGTTTCATGTGTCCAAAATGGTCTTAATATTTCAAACTATGAAAAGTAATTTGAAAACCTGGTATATATCACGAGTAAATGTCTAATTTTGAAGACTGACATGCACATATAATTTGTTCCTAGCTCTCCACACTAACACTTACATATTACTTTGTTAGAAAAACTTTTTTGGGCCCCAGAAATATCAAAGAAGTTAATATTGTGGATTATAGAATTTCATTTCTTACTTTTTTATTGCCAGGTATTTTATCCTCAATACCACTTTATTTTTGCTACTATGTCTTGAAACATCAGAACAAATATTATATTTTTGCTATTTCTATTCCTACAGTTACATGGCACAGTATTTTAAGTGGCTAGATAAATCACACTGTAAAATTAAAATAATATTTAGAATTGCTCATGAGCAATTTTATTCCCTCCCATTTTTTAAATTATTTTTAATGTATTTAGTACAGGGTCTACAGGGTCTCACTACATAGATTGGATTCACAGTGATTCTCCTGTTTTCAATTCCAAGCACTGAGATTAGAGGCGTGTGCCACCACTCCCAGTCTCAATGGCCATCTCAGCATGCCCCAGGGGCAGGGCTGATACAACACGCCAGGGGTTGAACCCTGGCCGCTGCATGCTGCCTAAGCAGACACTTTAGTCCACTGAGCTATCTGGTAGGCCTTTATTCCCTCCTATTTTTGCATATGTAATTTTATAAAATTCTAACTATATCATGAATGTATTTTGTATTCAACATGTTTCACTTAACATAGAATAATTTGATCAATCTCTTGCTTAGTCATTAAAATTATAATTATAAAACATTCCTGCATTGATCTATGGCAAAATCTTGACAGAAACTCTCCTAACAATCAAGAGAATGCCACTGTTAAAATGGTTGTGACCACATCTAAGTCCAGATGGTATCACTCAGTCACAGTTTTCTGTTATAAGTACCTTGAACAAATGGGATTTCTCTCTGGCTCTTTCAACTTCTGTACTGATTAAAGGACTCATTTGTGCTCTTTTGCTAGCTCCTTTCCTGCTTTTCCTTTCTTTTACATCGGAAGAAGTGTAAAAGAAGAAGAGAAACTGAGGCTAGGACAGGTGAAATGACTGACCACCACCACAGTGAAGTGGTGACAGGAAAGGAAATTCCAACAGTTTTACGAAAGCATGGGATGAGGATTAGTGGTGTCACTGGTAGTCTTTGATGTAACTGTGATTAGGGCTATAATTTTTAGTTTTAATGAGTTAATAATGACATAATCCAAGTTGCATCCAAGATAGCCTTGTTTCTACACCATTGGTTTAGTGATTGTTCTCTGCCTCTGCACTCTTTGCTGGGAGAAATGAGATTTCATCAGCATCATTTCCTAATACCCATTTGAGTCTTGAAAAACAGTTTTTAGAACTATTGTGACAGATACCGCATCGTTCCTATCTGACATCAAGTTAAGGTGTATAATGCTTACCCTCTTGCCAATTTCGGATCATTCCCTTGCATTCACTGGAGTCTCCCATTTTGCATTCCTACTTGCAGAGGCTGCGTCATTGGGCCTACCTTCCATTTTAATGTTCCTGCTCTGCACTTTGGCGATGTTTCTTATGGTGAGTAATTTTCCATATTCAATTTAGAAGTTGGATAGATTTTTTTTGTCTCTTCGTTGGAAAAAAGAAGGTTTATAACCATCTCTTACCATTTTTTAAATAGGTGACAGTCAAGAGGGCTGAGAATGTCCCTCCCCTCTCTGTGGCTGAGGCAGTTGAGTGTTGTTTCTTAGCTCATATGTGCAAGTGGTAGCCATGTCCCAGTCCCTAGGCACTGTCAGGCTGCCGCCATCTCCCTGCTTCCAGCAGCAAGACATAGCTCCTTGTGCTTCACTCTGCTACCGGAACACTCGACACTGTATTTAAATGCAGATTCTATTTGCCAGTCAGGCTTACAGTAGTCTCTTCACAAAGAGCTGTCGAATTTAAGGTAAGTTGAATGTGCTTTGGTTCAGGTGTTCCAGGACCCTAAGTTGAGGGCTATGCTATATTTTGTTGTTGTTGTTGTTGTCCTCTCACTTGCTAGCTTCCCTGAGCTGTGTCTTCCTATTTGAGCTTCCCTGCTAATAAAAATGACAGCAGCCTTAGCAGGAGCAGGAGCAAAAGCTCCATTTATTGGTTTTCTTGTGTTTTATCCACTACTAAGTGGATTACATGCAGTACTGTATTTAAACCTTTTAGCAATCCTATGTGGAGGTTCTACTTAATATCTTTAATTTAGAGGAGAAAGCCTAGAGCCAAGAGACAGTTAAACAACTTTCTAAGGTCACACAGCAGGAGCACAATTGGTATTTTACTTGGCAGCTCTCTAAATTCATGCCCAACAACAGGGAGGATGTTATTCCAAAACAGACAGAAAACTGTTCTTGGGTAATGTAAAAACCTTCAGTATAACAGTGGTTTAGGGTCTGCCAAGGTTTGATCTCACCCAACAGAATCTCATTCTTTAGTGTTTGTTAGGGAGAATTTAAACCTAACTTCATATCATATTTGATTAATTTTTTAACTTAAAAGTAATTTACCAATCCCCAATACCAAAAAGAAAAAGTAATTTACCTTTCTTTTACAAGGTGATAATGAAAAAATAGTTGAGAAGTTTCAGCTTCAATTCCTACTTCATAATTCTATTTTGTTTTATTACCTCACATCTGTCTTGCTCCATTTTGAGTAGATCCATCTACTTTGGGGAAAAATAGTTCTTTCTCCCTCTGTACATTAAAAGGCATGAGGTAGATACTGTAGAAAAATCTATATAAATGGAGTAGGATGCCTATTACTATAAGAAAACAGCAGGAGGGGTTTGTACAAATGAGCATGGTATACTTGAGTGATAGGCTCTTCTGAAGGAAAATAAAAGCAATCTTGGTCATCCAGTGGCCAGGGAAGAGAGCAGACTTTCTCTAGGGTGAATAGGATTGGTGCACGATGTGAAGTGCAGTTCTATACCCAAGGTGTTCTGCAAGTAGCAGACACTGAGTGAAAGGGGCGGTCTGGACAACTAATGCATGCCGGCAGCATGCTTTTCCCAGCATTTTCCCAGCTATGAAGCCCAGCACCAGAACATTCAGACCGTGTGCCCTGTATCACACTGCCCCAGAGAAGGGAAACAGCCTGAAGAAGCATCACAAGTCAGTTCCTCCAGGGTATCTCACGTTAACTCATGCTCTGTAATCTGGTGTATAGTTCAGCTCTAAAGTGTTCACACAAGCACTATATAATGATGGTATTATTGAGTCAAAAAAATATCTAAAACTTTCTTATATAGAATGTAGACAGAGAACTGCATCAAGACGCCTAGTATAGTGCATCTCAGTGAAATGTGGCAAAGAGGAAGCATATGCCGAGTCCTCAAAATGCTGCATTTTGTTTTTAAGTATTTATAATATCCAGTGAACATCAGTGACCATAAAAACACCAGTAAATACAAGGTCTTTGAAGCACAGCTGTGAATTTTTAAAGGGCTGCTTCTAATAAATAGTTAAAATTTACTTCAAGGTACGCCAGGTTGAGTGCAGGTCACTAGTGATTTCCAGGTACAATTTTAACAGTGGTGGGAGCAGCAGCCAGGCTGCTCGTGGATAAAGATACTCAAGGCAATCTGTGTCTGGCAGAGCGCAAGCGTTCTCTTAAATATACCTATGAAACAGATTTTGTTGATAACAAATTGCCATCACCAGCCAAAAGGCTGCTGTGGTGGTGTTCGAATTTAAAAATAAATACACTTATTCAAGATAGCTAATACGTTCCCTGTGCATGAGCCCGAGGAGCAGAATGACTGGGAGAGTCTTGGTGCAGCAGTGCAGGCTCCTCCCATCGCGTGCCCCCACGCCACACAGCTTGGAAACCAGCACGAGCCTAGAGACTGATGTGCGAAGTAGATAAACCAAGAGATCTGTGGACCAGTGTAGCTGAGATTGGAGTATTGTCTAGGCAGGAAGGAACTAAGTGCAGCTCAAAACATTGGATTTATGGGATCCTTCCAGCCTCCACCTTTGCCCTGCACTGAGCTCCCCAAGCCTTGGCAGTCAGGCATGAAACTTAACTCTCTATTAACAATTCACTGATATTGAGAAATCCATGTCGGACATAGGAAAGCAAGCAAAAGAGCTTAAAAATATGAAAATTAAGTAGGGAGAAATGACAAAGTAGATTCATTTAAAAGTTCAATAGAGTAGTTTTAAGAGAGGCAGTGAAAAATAGCTAAAAATTGTTATTTGGAAGGATGGGGGCTGAGAATTTTGAACTAAAGCAAAATTGTTGTCTTTACAGTGTATAGTCAGACAAAGTACATCCAAACATAGAAATATCGTAGTGAAACTCAAGAACATTGACACTAAACAGAAGGCCTTGAAAGCCACTAGAGAGCAAAATTATATGAAACAACTGCTTAGCAGCAGTTATCTATGGTAGCAGAAGTACCACAAGATAGTGCAGTGCACTTTTCAAATTAGTCGTGAGAAAATAATTGTTAGACTAGGATTCTGTCTAAGAATCGAGCTTCTGTGAGCACCTTTTTACTCAAAGTCCATCTCAAAACTTCACCGCAGGGACAGTTATTAGAAAGCTCTGAAGACTCTTATTGAAGAATTTTTCAGAGTAGTTTTTCTTCAAGCTGCAAAGGAGGAGAGATTCTGAGGGTTGGTTTTTAGAGAAGGCTACTTGAACTTAAAGATGAATTAGATTTTGACAATAGTTAATGTCTGAAGGAAACAAGGTTGGCTTAGGCTGATGGAAGGTTTGTAACCACGTGGATCTGTTAGTTATTATTTCATAAAGTAACCTAAATTGCAAAGAGACCTGAGCTGATCTGATGGACATCAGAACTAAAAGCAAAACCTTACCAAAGAACTCCAAGAGCCTCAGAGATCCTGGCCATAACACTATTTTTGTGCTCTGTTTTACCCAGAGATTGTGGATCATGAAATTCTAGATCAAAGGGTTAACATACTCTGAGATTCTTTGTAACTCTTCTAGTGCAAAGTGATACCCCCAGATAGGAAATTTATAGTCTGTAACTTCCTGGTCAGAGTTGTGTAATGATCTCTCTGTACAGGGAAGTTCAAGCCCACCTGAGGCATTTTCTGAGAGTTACAAGCACATATTCTGAATTATGGGATTTGGTACTGTCTGTCTCCCTTCTGGAAACCCATATCCCACATATACAATTTTCCTGGAATATGGTAGCAGGATGTAAGGTAGGAAGCAGCCACAGCCCAGCTGCAAAGGAGAGAGCTTCGTATTGACTCTTCAGAACCCATTTTATCTCTTCTTTGCTGGGGAATCCGTAGTATAACATTTTGTCAAATATCATCTTAGATTTAGGGGCATAGCTGTATGCCAGCTATCATGGAAGTGGCCAGAAGATTCCCATTACAGGCAATGTTTGCTTTCTAAATATGAGTCTAAATTTTATGTCTAAAATGGATTGGGTGTACAGTGTGTGTTTACTCGTCACACATTCTCAATTATTTCTATGAATAACTACAAAAGAGCCACCTGATTTGCATAATGATCTGCCAACACAGTTCCCTTTGCTTTATGAGACTTTCATTTTACTAGAAAAATTAGGAGCACATAATCTATTTAGATAAGGGTTCTTGAGTAGAGAGGTCACGTTCCAAATGATGTACCATCTTTTGAAAGAATTATACTGCTGATTTCTGCTTGTCTACAGAGTGGAGCAGTGGTTTTTTGTTTTGTTTCTTTTTTTCTTGTCCTATTTAATTTGTAATAACTTTTTTCTTTTTCTTTTTTACCAATTTTGTGTGCTTATATTTGGAAATCTGAACAACTCATTTGAAGACAACGTTATAGAATATAACAACCATTGTTGAATTCCTATTGTTTTGTTTGGTGAAGTTCTGTCTCGTTTCTAATGTTTTTGTTTTATTTTTTTTCATACTGTTTTGTACTCTTTAGATAATAAAAAAAGAATTTAAAAAATTATAAATATCTTTGCTTGTAGCCTTATGATCTTCAGCTGCTAATTTCTTCAAGAAGTCTTAGGGGCTTTTTATTTTTGTTGTTTATTTTTAGTACAAAGCCTCATTACACAGATCGGTCTTGTAATGATTCTCCTGTTTGCAGCCTCCCAAGCACTGGGATTACAGGTGCACACCACCACACCCAGCCTACTAGGGGCTTTTTAGGCCAGGTAAAAATATGTAAATTGAAAGAGCAATGACTCTTCTGAGAACCTTGTTCTTTCAATCATTATGTAAGTACTGGGAGAATTGTGCGTTGCCTCTGTGAATCCTTGAACATTATGCCGAGTCATATTGGTAATTATTCCAAGAAAAGGCAAGTAAATATTGACCTTTCATCTAATAGATACCAACTGAAGGGTACATAGAGGTCTGTAACATCAAACACTTCCTTTCACAATAGAACAGTACAACCAGGAATAACATTCACATTAATTGCCATTCAATCTTTTACTAATATCCCCTCCCCTTAGGCTTCTTGACAGGCAATATGAAGTATAGAGATAGTAATAGCAGGAATTGTTCTAGCTAGATTATAAATGGCTTTATTCTAATGAAAAGCTTGTGGCTTCAAGGAAGTGGTCTGAGTGATGCTTTTGGACATGTATCTGATTCTATGGGATCTATTTCTTGCAAAATATTTTAGTAGAAAATTTAACCCATAAGTGATCAAGTAAAGCAGGCTAAGACAGCTCAGTCTCAAGAACCATTATCAATTCAGGAAAGTAAAATATGATTGAGAAACTGACTTTTTAAGCAGTTCTTCTGGAATATCCAAAAATAACCTTTCAAGAGAAGGTTCTTCAAGAGACCAACTGTATATTATCACAGCAGGGTTCAAGGTAGAAGATAGGACTTACATCCAGTGGAAATAAGCACTTGTGTTACCTTATGGTTACAGGTAGTTTTTGTTTTGAAGATGGCTGCAGATACAGTGGTCACCTAGGGAATCCAAAATCAGACCTCAGTGTATTTTTTTCCTGGCAAAGATCCACCTCTCTCTCTTTCTCTCTCTCTCTCTCTCTCTCTCTCTCTCTCTCTCTCTCTCTCTCTCTGGTGGAACGGGGAATTGAACTCAGACCCTTGCGCTTGCCAGGGAAGTGTTTATTCCACAGAGCCATCTCCCCGGCCCATCCACATTTCTTAAGAAAGAAGCACAAGTTCGCATCATCTGCCCTGAGCTCAAGAGTCTCAGGTCCCGAACTGATTCTGTCATATCCAGACATTCTCTGAATCGTGCCAGAGCAAAATCATCCTGGCTTCTCCTCTCCCCATTGGCAGATAAAAACAGCAAGCATGAGATGGGCACACCTATAATCCCAGCACTCTGGGAGGCTGAGGCAAGAAAATCACCAAGATTGAGCCCAGCTTGAGCAACTTAGTGATATAATGAGTCTTTGTCTCAAAAAATAAAAAAGGGCTGGGGATGTAGCTCAGTAAAAACACAGGCCCTTGTGTGTGTGTGGGGGGGGTCAATTCTCAGCACTGAAAATAAAGACTAATCATGGTTCTGTGTAAAAAAAAAAAATCTGTATTTTATTTTTTAAATATATGCAAAGTACACTTATTCAAGACAACTAAATAAACTAATAATAAAGACTGCTTCTTTGGAAGGACCTAGGTAACAATCAAGGCAATTGTTTTATATCTTCTGTTTATCTTGATACATGGTAAATGCATTGCAAATATTCACTCAGTGAATGCATGAAATGCACGTGTTTGTGTGCTTGAAAACGATATTTAAAGCAATTTGGAGTTAAGTAGTGATAAGCTGTATTTATTTATTGATTTTAATGTATTTTGTATGGGATCTCACTACGCAACTCAGACTCATAGTGATCCTCCTGTTTTCAGCCTCCCCAGTGCTGGGATTACAGCTGTGTGCCACCACACACACAGTCTTGGTGGCCAGCTCAGCACCCCAGGGGTGGGGCCGGTGCTGCATGAGGTGCTGGGGATCTAACTCCAGTCCTATGCTTGCCTAAGCAGGTGCTCAGTCCACTGAATTATTTCGCCGGCCCGAGCTGTATTTATTTCTTGCCTCATGTTTTGTTTTCCAGGATTTCCTCATACCTTGATGTGTTCGCTCAATAATACATCTTTGGTCCCCATGACCTTCAATCTGCGCATCCCTAGAGATGGCTGTGGCCTGAAAAGCATCCCAAGTGGTGAGCAGGTTTCAAGTGACAGAAGACTGTCTGGGACCAGTGAAGAAATAGAAATGGACACAACAAAGCCAAAAGAATTCACCATCACTCCCAGCTGTGGCACCATTCGCTCCCAGAGCTTTGCTGCTATCAAGGTAAAGCACAGTGCACGGCCTTCGAGCACAGACAGCCCAGCAGCCACACCTGAAGCAGGTCTCCCTTCCCGTGCTTGTTGACTCCCATGGGGAAGTGGGCCTAGGAACACAGGCAACATGGGGAATCGGACACAGATACATTCGGTGAAAAAAGAAAATTCGCATGGGTCCCAGTGATTTCCATGAATCCAGATGCGATGCCTTTGCTGGAACAGCGGCTTCTAGGTCGTACCTAGTAGAACCAGTGCTCTCTACAGATAGTCCACATGTTGGTACCAACAGCAAACAGTAGAAGAACTCATTGATAATTGGATTCTTCTCTCCTTCAGACCTGGATCCTTCATAATCAATAAATATCCAGATTTATGCCAAAGGGGACACCCCACTTTTTCAGATGTACAGTACAAATCTGGGCCTCACCATGGGTGTCGCTGCAGTGTTTCTATCAATGCCTGGTTTTTAGATCCAAAGGAACAGCAGCAAGGCAGCTGCCGGTCCACCCCGATCCCCACCCCCACTCCGTGCTTGGTCCGAAATCCAGACGGTACAGGGCCTTGGTGTTGGCCTCCCTACGCCACCAGCAGAACTCCTTCACAGTTAACTGATAAGGTTTTTAACTGTCTTATCTCCCTTTTGCTTCTCCATACAGTGAGGTCTAGCAATATGAAAGGCTAACACACTGAAAGGATTTTATGCTTTCTGGGAAAAAGTAAGGCTTCCAGGGTAAGGTTGATGATTTTCTCTTGAGTGACAACCATGCAGTACTTAGTCTCGCTATCATGTTATTCCCCACATTTGCTTTAAATGTTTCTTGCCATTTCACCTCAAATCCACTCATCTTGACCTTTCTGAGCATTTTTGGCTCCCCCATGCGTTCTCCTCTACAAGCCCAATGAAGTTTGATGATAGCAGGATCATGACTTCTCCAGATCTCTGTGACCTTCCTTATGGAAAATGCTGCTGTAATGGAATTATTTTTTTGCCTGTTTTCTTAATAATGCTCAGCCATCGTGTTACCTATCTTTCCTTTTGCTTCTTCCAGGTAATGCATGGAGGCTGTAAAAGACGTAGCACAGTATCTCTCTAGCAGCCTTCTGCCAAAACTGTTCACCTTTCTTCCCTCCAGCCGCAGCTCGGCTACATAAATAAAGAGCTCCACTCTTGCTAGGGTTCTCTGCTTTTTGCCAAATCCAGCAAGGTGTCTTTCCAAGTCACTGGCTTCACCTTCACTTTCTTTTTCCTTTGTATTTGAAAAAGCTTTTTCCAAGCTTTGGTTTTCCCTCCTGGTCTGCACTTCAGCCAGGTCTGTGTGGACTCAAATTTGCATCCAGTGATTCCCTCTGCAACCAAAAAAATTTTAATTAGTACTTGATACATAATTTATAGATAGAAAAGCCTCAACTCATGCCAGAAGCTCTTTTCTACTTACAAGTATCTCTTCCAGTGCAGATCATTTTAAAGCAATTAAAAGTTGTAACAAGGCTCTCAAAGCCTAAATATAAAGTTTCAAAATAAAAACATTGGGGAAAATGTTTTGGTCAGATTTTGTCCTCAACGGACCTTTTCTTTGGAACATCCTGTTTTCTACTCTAATAATGGGAGGCAAGATTGATTAATTTTTATGCCATTTTCGGGAACTCACAGGATTATTTTCATTTATTTTGATTTAAGAGAAATTTTATTATAGTGTTTTTCATTACATTGGATTTTTATGATTTAGATAGTCCGGAGGTATAAGGAATAATTTCACCCACAGTAATTAAAGATCTTCTACATATTGCTCAACCTTCCTCGTCACTCCTGCCACCACTCCTGCCACCTTGGATGGGTATGGAGCTTCTTGAATAAAGCCACCTCAGGAATGAGCAAACCTGTCATACAAAAGCCTCTTGGTTTTCTAACCTGGCCTTTGAAGCCACTCAGCGTGCCCTGACCTGACAGTGTAACTTGTTGAACTGAAACAAGTGAAATGTCATACATACATAAAGGACCTGACTGCGCTCTCCTCTGTGTAGAGAGAGGGTGGCATTTAGAATAGCATCTTCTCACCTTCTCCTCTCCAGGTGACTTTATGCTCCAACACTGTGCAAAAATACGAACTGGCGCTGGTTGTGGACGTGGAGGGCGTTGGGGAAGAGGTGCTGGCTCTCCTGATCACGGCCAGGTATCACTCCCTTGCTTCCTCTCTTCCAGAGTCCCCTGAGCCCAGGACTGGGGTGTCAGCCAGTGAACACTGGTTTTGATCTGCCTTCCTGAGAAAGGAAACAGAATCTGATATTCAAAAGCACAAAGCTTTAGAACAACAGAAGTTTGCAAAGCACCTTTGCTGTAGATACAAAGGGTTGTATGTTTTGCATCAAAAATGGTGCTCTCTGATGGGTCTGACTTTCAAAGTCTGAAACAGAGAAAAAGGGTGTTAGCAGGAAGAAGTGGTGAGTTGCTGGTATTTTATTTTCTTTTTTCAATATAGAGCTGCAGAGTCATGCAGCAGGAAAGCACTGCTCTCGGTCCTACTGTGGAAGATTCATGTAGCCCCCATGTCCCTGCTCTGGGACACTGTCTCTGGGCCTTCAATCTCAGGCTGTGAGAGGCCTCGTAGGTGAAGTTTATTGCCTGCAATACAAATGCCTCAAAACTACCACCAACTCTCCATTTTAGGGGTACAGCAAGAGGCTCTGGAGTCAGAATCAAATCCTGCCTCAGCCATTGTTTGACTGGGTCTTCCTGGCCAGTTACCATCTTCTTGGGGATAGTGGCAGTGAGAAAGATGACGTCACCTACCAATGATAATATGACCCTACCTATGGGGCCACTCTCTCCTCAGAGCAAATGGTGTCCAGAGCTGGGACTGTGGATGAAAGTGCTGAGTATAGGAACGAGATACGATAACAGTAAAACTAATCATACTAATCCATTGGGCTTTAGAATTTAAGTCTCTCATGAATCTTGGAGAAATATTCCTTAAAGAGGGTGCAGATGGGATGGTCAGTGGGGAAAAATAGCTGGCATCATCCCATGTGTTACAAGAGTAGCTGGCACCAGGTAACAGCCCTAACAAACCCACTGTGCTGCTGCAATCTACTTAATAGTCCTTCAGAACTTAAACTATTTTTGTGATTAAAATCAGCAGAACGCTAATCTCAGACTTTCTGCATCTAAGTTGCCTGATAGGCTCGTCTCCCATGCCTTTTCTCTGCATCCTTATTCTGGATATTTTTCAGCCCCTTTGCCCGTAGCTATCAACAAGAAATACTAAATTTAAAAAGAAGGACTAAAGAAGCTAGAATTACCTACTAATGCAAGCTGTGAAACCCTAGTGAAATATCATAAACCCTTCCAGCCACCGGGTTTCAGGCAGCAAAGGATTGAAAGTCCTTGGGTCAAGTGACAACTTCCATTCTAGCTAAAAATGAACAGCATCTCATGCTCAGTCACACACTTTGGGCTTAAAGAATGGCGCTTTCATGTCCCTCCTTTCAATGTAACCTGCAGGAGCTGCCCGCTCTCAATAGAAGACCTGCCATTACAACTTGTACCCTAAAGAGACTCTGTCAGGAAGCCAGCAGTGCCAACTGGCCATGCCCTCCCCGCAGGTCACCTCCTCTCACTGAGCACTTGGGCTGTGACCTCAACACACGTTTTCTCCTGGATTCCCCATGACACTCTACAAAGCATTGGCAATGCCAACTTCAATGCCTAGACGGACCTTCGTTTTACCTGTGAGAGAAGGGGGACTCCATGGGGAAAAGCAGCGGGTTCTGAGTAGCACAGGTGACACTTAGTAAGGTCAGAATTGAACTGGGATCTGTCTTAATTCAAAAGCCAGTCATCACCATCATTACACTGTGTGCTGCGACAGTGACACAGAGCAGATTAGACACAGAGCTACAGACACAAAATAAAACCCAGGTCACCTAATAACAGACTAACTACAAACACAGGGCTTTGACTCCTCTCCCCACTATACACACGCTCCCTGCCTCTTCCCAGCCCCTCCATATCAGAAACACTTCACGGTGCCAGTTCTGGACTGGGCAGCTGCCAGAGCCTACTCACCCAAGACAGCTGGTCTGCATAGAAATTAGAATCATTACCATTATTTAGGTGATGTGAGCTGTTGCTAGTCCCAGAAGATTTTCTGACTCATGCAAAGTGTCACGGCTAGTTAGGACCCCATGCTGGTGGCATTGCCCTGTTTGACATGGTAACAGACCCACTACCCTAACAAACTTGCGCCATGGGGACCTTTGTCAAAAGAAGGCCAAGTTGAAAAATAATGGAGATGTTAGTCATTACCCACAAAAGACAGCTATTTAAAGAATTCTGCTTCTAGTCCTTTTTTATTAAAAAATAGTTGACTGAGGCTAAGAGAGCGATGACAGGAGAAAAGATCTGAAAATGATTAATGTAGTCATTAGAAAAAACTGCTATGTGACAGTTACAAATGTCCTTAAGACTGTGCATCTCTATATGCAAACAAGCTCTCATTTTGAATTATTCAATGGGCTTCTTTGAGCAGGTGTGTTGTACCTGCCATTCGACTAGTGAAGACCGACATGGACTTTGGGCTCTGCTTCCTGAAACACCCCTACGAGAAAACTATCGAGCTTGTCAATCATGACACCCTTCCAGGATGCTATGAGGTCCTGCCTCCGGTGAGTTGCTTTACCCTTCTTCTGGGTTCTTTTCTTCCATCAGAGGCCCTTGATGAGGAGGAGACATCCTTCTGAAGACTCATATTCCTAAACACGTGACCTTATGTAATTCTGATTTGTGACCCTCCAGTGAGCTGGGGATAAGGGTATGAAGCCACAGCTGGATTGCCATCTGCATAAGTGAGCAGCTGCAGGTATAAACAGTTGTTCATTTCCCAGGGAAAGTGCCCTTGATAAAGAAGAGAAAGTGTCAATTAAGCCTACGTACAGACGTGCACCTGCAAATAATTGCCCGGGGAATAAGCTATGAGTTTTAATTTTGCCCATGGCTACAACTTGATCAGCATCACCAATATATAGCAATGCAATATTTATAAATGGACTTCTTGGACCAGAAGGCTAGAGATAATGCTGGAAGAAAACAGAGGGATTATGTGTTAATGTCTTAATGAAATGTGTTTCTCCACATGCTACTACACTTGGCTAGTTGGGAAAATAAGCAGTTGACATACACATAAAAGATTCAAAGATCTATAGAGTAATCAAAGTTCACTAATTAAGTTATTAAGAACTCGTTTGAGTTTAAATTTCTGGCTATATAAGTATAATACTCTAATATAAGCTCATGTGAAAAGTCAGACGGGGTCATTGGCTTTACATTCAATATCAGTTAAACAAGCAGTAAGGTCACAAAACCAATACAGGTTTAGGCTGCATCAGAAAATGACAGCTCGAGGAAGGGATAGGCAGGCATAGGCCAAAACTCAGCCAGGATTTTATCTTCAAGTCCTGGCCCTGTACTTTCTAATAGGAACTGCTTTGCCTTGGGAGTAACAAAAATGTGTTTCATGTCGTCTGCGAATCCAAGTCACGAGAGAGGCCACGTCAGGTGTTTAATCCAGAACAGAGGAGACTTAGGGTAGGAGAGCTACCTCTTGCCAGCCAAAGGACTCTTCTGTGAAAGAGGAAATTGGGGTCAAGTGAAGCAGTTTCTGCACATCAGGGCTGAAAATAGGGTAGGACACTTGCTTTGGGAATAAAATGTAAAGGGGAGCCAATTACTCAATATCAAGATGTGATATTTTCATGTCATAGCCTAAGAAATTAAGATTAACTTAACAATCATAAAACATCAAGACCTGGATGGAGATAAGCTGAGTACTGCTAGGTTACTTTCGTCTCAGTCTCCCATGGGGCTCAGCAGAGCGCTCTGCACAGGGCGAGGCAGTAGTGTGACAAGGACATGTGAGGCCTGACCAGGCCCAAAAGGAGAATGAGGCGTTCCAGAATGGGAAGACCTGCACACTCAGTCTCCTGAGAAATGCAGGTCCTTAGAAGTATTTCTGGAGAGTTATTAAAACACGGCTGGGCTTGGTGGCGCATGCCTGTCATCCTAGAACTCAAGAGGCTGAGGCATGAGTTTCTCTGTAAATCTAGGGCCAGCTTGGAATACATAATAAGCCTAAATCACATAAAAAAATTGCCCCCACACACACACACACCAAACAAGGAGTTACACAAAATAATTTAATCATGGGATTTTTTAAAATGATTGTTGCATAAAACTAGTAATATGGGACAGAACAGGGTTGGGAGGACCACACATGAGTAAACCCTGGATGATGTTCCTTCCTTCCTTCATTATTTATGTTAAAAAAAAATACATATAAAGCACATTCATCAGGCCAGAGAGTGGGTACATGGGGAGGAGGTGCCAGGCCATGCCCTAAGAAGCTTCCAGTCCAGGAAGAAGGCGGCATGCAGATGGTCACTGTGCTGTCCAGAGCACTGTGGAGCAAAGGACTTCACGGGTCCCACAGCTAGTGGGGAGCCCAGAGGGGCATGCCGGGCAGGTTGCAGGGAACAGTATTTTAAGAAGGGGAGCCACAAGTGCACAGGGTTGGAGGTGGGACAGCATCATGTGCTCAGGAAGTGCTGGGAGCCTGGCCTCTCTCAGTGGGGTGTGGAGGGGTGCAGCAGTGGGGAGCAAATGCGAAGGTGTGGAGGGCCAGGTTAGGAAGTTGGCAGTGGAGGGCCGTCATCGTAAACCCATCTGTGTGGTGTCACTTCTGCATCTTGCGCTGGGAAGTCAAGAGTAGGAGCCTGATACATACTTCACTTCACCAGACCTCCTGTGGGCTGAGCTGAGGTGCTCCTCCACGCTGCCTTGCCTAGTCAAGGAGACATTTCTGAAGAACCACCTTGGGCTCAGGACAACAATTGGCTCAGAGTAACAGGCTCTCTGTCCTACCCACACACAGCTCACTTACCCCCGGCTTCTCTCTCTCCAGGTGTGTGAGGACCCACTGGCCATGCTCCTTTCCATCCCCTCGCCCTCCGGGGTCATCGCCCCCAACGGCACTGTGAGCATACCAGTAGCCCTGGAGACCCAGGTCACCGGAGAGCACAGGGCCACAATTTACGTCTCTGTCTTTGGAAGCCAGGACCCTCCTTTGGTGAGAGCCAGTTTCAGAATCACAGCTGAAATTGCTGTGCTCCTTACCAAGCCTTTTGAGCTTCTTCCATTAAGGCACACCCCAAATTTGCAGAGCTTCCAGTGGTCTGTAGTTACAGTTTTGTATTTTTACTCTGCAGTGGTAAAATACAAATATGGTATTACTTGGTGAATCTATTTGTGGAAACATCAGAGAGTAGTCACGTTTTATAGCAGTTGTTCCCAAGAAGCCTAACTCAAGCATCAGAAGCGCATGCACACATCCACACCCACACCCACACATACACACACACACACACACACACACACACACACACACCCCTATGTGACCCCTCTCCAGGGCCCAGGACATCTGTGTGTTTACCAAGCTTCTCCAGTTGTTCCCAGCATGAAGCTGGGCTTGTTAGCACTGAGTTTATCATCTGGAGGCTGTGAGATCTGTTTCATTCACTGCTCCTGCTGCTTTTCCTGTGCCTTGACTGTAGTAACCATAGCCCAGACCAACCTACTGTCGCTGTTCAGAGAAAGTTTCTGTGCAGGTCAGTAAGAGAGAGACATGGAAGGCTCTCTGCTACTCATGCTGAACTGGAGGATAAATCTTGACTCTTTGAGGAAGTTGCCCAACAGGCTATATGTCCTTAGATGTTTGGTTTACTTAAGAAATGGATGATATCAACCCCCATTTGTTTGAAATCATTCTGCTTGCTTACAGAGTATAATAAACTATGGTTTTGGTTTTATCTCTTCCATATAAGGTGCTATAGAACCTGACTTACAAAGCAGCGTCACAAAGCAAAACAACCCCCAAATATGCCCCTGCTCCAGAACCTCTGCTGGGCTCACTGTGACATTCCCATCCCTGCACAGAAGCAGCTCCCAAGAGGGTAACCACAGCTTTATGAAAGAAAAAGGCCCACCTTCTGAGGCGATCAGAGCACAGAGTGGCTTTGTGCAGTTGTCCTGCCTGGATATGCCACTACTAAAGTGAGAGAACTGAGACTAAAATCCGGCCACATCTAACTCTGAAGCACCTGCCCTTAAGTGCTTGTGAGGCCAAACTATTACATGGGACGCAGGGGGCCAAGACTTTGATTTTTTCTTTAGTACATAGCTTTGGGCTGACCCAGGGCAGCTGACCACCCTAGGGAAAGAATTCCTAGCTGAGGTCTCAGGTTTGACCCTATGAGCCCACCGCTGCATCTCTCCAACCATGGAGCATTCATGGGAGGGGCCATCAGTTCCCAGGACACCCTTTGATGCCCTGCGTTCTACTAAAGGGGTGGCTAGCACTTCTGTTTTCACTGGTTGTAAAGGCCAGCTCTTTTCAGCAGGTCCTGTTCTCTCTCTTGCATAAAACGTAGGTCTGTCACTTAAAGATCAGTGGACAAGGCCCAGTTATCTACGTGCATCCTACTCAAGTTGACTTTGGCAACATCTATGTCCTACAGGACTCTTCCAAGATTCTCAACCTTTCTAACCAGTCCTGCATTCCTGCCTTTTTTCGGGCACACATGGTGAGTAAGTTATGGGCCATCCTCACATGATGGAAACTACAGTTGCATAGTTAAACTGTTAAGCCACGTCCACCCCATCCTCAGCTCCCCTTTATTATAATCCTTTTGTGGTTTAAGAAATAAACTATGCATGTATTTTGGTAAACAAACATACTTCGTATAATCCCATGACAGGAAGATGTTTCACAGGAGACTAGACTCTGTAAAAACACTTCTTACATCTGTCTAACTGGAAGCACTTCCCTTAAATCGAATCTTTTAGGTTATAAATTTGTTAGTATGTTTACTCTATTTTTATTCTCACTTCCTTCTGAGAGTATCTTAAGGTGGTTTATGAATATGAATAAAATATAAGATAGTATTTGCTAAAAATGGCAATTAAAGAAGACATCAAGGCAAAGATATATACAAAAATAGATACATTTTAAATGCCTTGGTTTAATGTCTTTGTGTTTCATAAATCTCCATGTTTGTTTTATTTTTAAGTTTTATTTATTTTGCAGAAAAATAGAGATACTAGAGTAGGATGGGTGGTGGGTTTGTTGGGTAGAATTTAGGAATTTCTGACCAAATTGAAGTCAGAAATTGAAGGCATCTTTAGTCATAGAAATAGTTTTTAAAGTTAAATTTCTGACTCCAGTACTCTTCCTATTCCCAAATTACGGGCATTTGAATTCATGAGAGCAAACATTTAGGCTTAACATTTGTAAAATATTTCAGATGGCTTGACTATTACTGATTCTGTAAAAGTTACTGTCAGAAGAGATAGGATTGTGGATTCTCCTGTCCTGTGACAGCGCAGGCAGGAGGCACTGGTCCCAGTCAGCAACTATGTGTTGTTATTGGTAGTTCTTTTGCTACTTTTCCGTCCAGGATATGGCTTTCAGGAAGCCACTCTCGCAGGCTACAGGCACTTCCTGCACAGTCCTTGTCTTGTTCAGCCCAGCACCTTGTGGATGTTGTGCAAAGGATATTGTTTAACAGTGCTTAAAGAAAAGTCTCATAGAAAAAAATATAAATGGCAAATAATAATTATATGAAAAGATGTATAGCATCATGGTCATTCGAGAAATGCAAATTAGAACAACACTGAGGTTCCATCTCAGCCCAGAACAAATGGCTGTCACCATGAAGTCAACAAATAACAAATGCTGGAGGGGCTGGAGGGGAAAAGGAGCATTTCTCCACTGTTGGTGGGAGTGCAGGCTGGCACAACCACTATGGAGATCAGGGTGGAGAGTCCTCAGAAAACTAGGACTAGAGGTAAGCCAGCTATTGCCCTCCTGGGTATTTTTCCAGAAGAACTGAAAAGATCATATACCACAAGAATATATGTTCACCCATGTTTATGGCAGCACAATTGGTCATAGCTAAATGTTGGAAACAACATAAATGCCCATCAACTGAGGCAGGAGGAAAAAGATGTGGTATTTTTATACAATGGCGTATTACTGAGCTATAAGAAAAGATAATCTTGAGGCTTTATAGGTAAGTGGATGCAACTAGTGACCAGAGTCATAAGTGAAATAAATCAGACCTGCATGTGTAAACATCACATTGGCTACCTGGTATGAGAACCTGAGAAAGTAAATGAACTCTGAAAAGTATAATAGATGCTGTGAGAGGAAAAGAAACTGTTCAAAGGGAAGGAACTGGGATGTGGGAAAGGAAAAAAGAAAGAAGGGGAAATATATATTTACATATTTATATATAAATATATGTATTTATATATATTCTCTACATGTACTGAATAGCTAGAATAATTGTACTGCTGATTTTTACTGGCCTATTGAAAGGCATATTTAGCGCTTAAATTTTTTTCTTCTTTCTAATTTTTTGACCAATTTTTCAAGCATATATCTGGTTATCTGAACAACTAATTTGAGGAAAACAATATGTACTATAACAACCATTGTTGAATTCCTATCATTTTGTTTAGTGAAATTCTGTATCATTTCTAATGTTTTTTTTTTTTTTTTTTTTTTTTTTTTTTCTTTAAAAAAAGAAAGAAAGAAAGAAAAGTCTCATAGGACACTTTCCCTTGTCCTCACACAGTTATTCAGCAGATGCATTATTGAGTAGAAAACGCAAGGCACTGCTTAGGAGCTATTGCTTCCTGGCCTGGGGTAGAATGGACAGGAGACAAGGAAAGGCGTCTGTGTCCTTCCAGGCCCACTAGTGTGAGCGCCACAGAGACTGTGGATGGGCCCTCCACGGCATCTTACATGCACACACAGTGCCCTTCCCTGTCATTGTCAAGTATCTTCAGATTTCACCTGCTTTTAGTAACTTCTGGTGCATTTCAGAATCCTCTCTCTGTCTCCCTCTGGCTCTCTGTTTCTCTGTCTCTTTGTCTCTCTGTCTCTCTCTCACGCTCAGTGTGTATACTAAATGACCCAGTTGGCTTGTCAAAATGAGACCTTTTCTTTTTCACAAAGATTTCGCAATTCCATCTTTCATTTCCTTTATGTTTCCTTAAATCAGTGAGCTCCAGTTCCAAAGAGACAAATGTGATATAAATGATCTATTGTAGGATGTGTTTTTCCCTCCATCTGCTTTTGGAAAACCATCATTTATTGAGTTATAGCATAAAAGTAGTTTCAACTGTAGTTCGTGTCAGTGAAAATTAAACTCCTTTCATATTTCAGCTGGGATTTTGCTGTATTTCCTAACAAATATGTATTAACATTACAGAAGTTGAACTATGCTAACTTAGAAGCAAACTGGAGTGGAAAGAAACCAAAATATATTTTATCAAATTTCAACTCAGTGTGCAGTATCACACCTTCAAATTCATTCTTACAGAAGTTATCCAGCATTAGGAAAGAGTTTCAAGGGATAGTTGCCTATTCCCTAACTAAGCCTACTTCAACTCCAGGTTTTTCATATTCTTTTCTTTTCTTGATGGCTGCCCTGACATGAGAGGTATTGAAGTTTAGGGGTTTGCAAGGAGAACAGTGTAATACAAGACACTCAATTATAAGACTATTTTATAATAATCACCCAAAGAGTCATATATAAGAGTGCCAGAAATCTTTTCACACACTGAAGACCAAAAAATCCAGCTGAGAGTCTGTATCCCATGACAATGTCCTGCATGAGTCCAGCTGAAGACCTAGAGCCCATAACAATGCTTCCCAAGGGTCAAACTGGAGGCCAAGAGCCCACAACACCGCATGTAGGTCTGTTTCACAAATCTGTGCTGGGAAGGCCCAAAAGTCAGTGGTAGAAATTAGGAAGTGGGATAAGAAACTATAGAAGTGGGATAAAGGACCTGTGATAGGAAGGTGAGGGATCTGCACTAGAGCCAGGAAGCAGCGCTCAAAGTAAGAACTAGAACTCCCCTGACAAGTACCATAGCCATCCTTAGTGACAGTTTAGTCCTGAGCTCCTCCAATGACAGCCAAACTCCTATCAGGAAAGCCAACATGACAAGCTTCTCCAGGAGACTGAAGAATACATCATGTTCCCCTCCAGAGTCAGAAATTAATGCTCAAAGTAAGGACCAGAGTCCCCACCCAATCCAATGTGAACCATAGCTATTTCCGGTAACAGCAAGGCTCCAGCCTCCTTCAACAGGAACAGTTGAGTTCATCAGGAAAGCCTGCATGCCAAACTCCTCCAAGAGAAACAATAGCTCCAAGAGAAAACAATAGCTCCCGCCAACTTCCCTAACAACTACCCTTCTCCAGTTCTACCTCTTATGCTGCCACAAGCAACCCTCAGGTGGGCCTCCCACACCTAGCACCACACTAGTTCAGTTCGGCTAGGTGTTGCAAGTTGACCCCAGTTGTCAGTCCACCACAAGGGGTCATCTTCTATCCTCTCTTTGCTGCCAGTAAATGTCACCCCTCTCTAAATGCAGCTCCCACTGTCAACCTTCTGTTGCACTAAGCCTCCTGGATGGCCACACATCGTGGCCACCACTGTGATTAAATTCGCCCTTAGCAAGAAACATCTGTTTGACCCACTACTTTTATGGACTACTGGACTACATTGGGTTATTTTGCTGAATTCAAGTACCTACAATCTTTAGACAGATCTCAAGTATGAAAAGGTCCTTTAAAGACTTCTCCAAATACAGCTTCTCTAACTGCAGTGGAACACCCATCTCTGACAAAACAAAACAAAAAAGGGGGATATGTTGGGAGCCACAAAGCTAGAAAATCAATCTAATATGTGTAGGAGGGACTTGGCCCAGTGCCCAAGGCAAACAAGCTACCTCACTCCTGAGATGAACATCCTGTCTGGTTAAGGTTAGCTATCAGTTGCTAGGCAAGCTAATATCATGCATTACTAAATTCACAAAAGTGTAAATAAAGGACCATTTTGTTGTGGAAAGAAAAAAAA